CCAGCAGTGAAGAAAGAACCATTACCAGGACCTGCAACCCTTCCTGTACCTTTGGCTGAAAATAAACCTGTGACTGTAATGAAAGAGGCGCATATTATTCAAGGGGACAGCAAAGAGGAGGGGGGGGGCTAAAAGGGGGGAAAGCAGGCAGCAGGGATCCTAGACGAGCAAACGCGTTCGGCATATTCGCAGGGGGGGTACTGCGCACGGACGAGCCCGAAGCAAACATATGTACAACCCGACCCATCCCTCCCAGGGAGGGGGCGCGTGGAGCCTCACCCCGACCCAAAGCAGTTAACCCACCCCAGGCCGTCCCCACCCACCTGCAACACAGAAGAGACTATTTGAAAAAATTAAAGATGGAGACATGGACAGAAGTTCCATCGATTTGAGCATGAACGCGGAAGAAACCTGGGATAGGCGAACTCCTAAGTATTCATACACACAAGGTCTGAAACTGAAAAAAAGGGCACTAGCAGGGAGAACGTCAAGTCCGATTAAAGTAGCTTCTAATGAATCAATGATCATGCCACCACCAAACTCATCTCTTGCCAATAAAAGAAAACTTAGTTTTTCAGACACAACTTCACGACAAGAACGACTCTTGGAAAAAAATTGATAAGAGTGCCACTCCAACGATGTCAACGTTTTCGGGAAAGTTTTCAGGTGATGGTTTAAAAGCCATAGCTTCTGAGTTGGGCGCAAATGGTGCGATAACTCGTTGCAAAAAGATTTGCCAAGCGCAAGTGACGTGCACTTTCCAGACATCATTCTCACGAAGACACCATCAGCACGTGAACTTCTATTCAACATACATACTTAGGTGTATACGCATGCCCTCCAATTGATTTCCGAGCTAACCTTTTACTAATCCTCTATTATTCACCAGATGAAGTTAATTTTATCAGGTCTATTTGTGGCGGTGACCGAAATAGGCCTCTCCTAGTGTACGTAGATAAGAATAGATTTATCTCACTTCAAGATTTATCTAAGTTGCTGGATATTGAAGCGCTATCAAATGCAACCATTGATTCTTGATTACATTGCTTAGAACAGTGTGGCAATAATCAGTACCGCGTATTGACAACTACGGAAGGGAATGAGATATTCCAGGCAGAATTTTCTTCTTCTCTATCAGTAAATTTTAAAGATTTTCAAAAGTACATAAATGTCGTAGTACCCTACCTCATGCCAGGTCACTGGGTCCTTTGCGTTGTGAACATGCGCGCTTCCAAGTTTCAGCTACTCGACCCTGCTGGAAGAAGTCCTGAATTAGAGATGCATCTTCTTAGGGGCCGTTCACAAATTACGTCACGCTGTTTAGGGGGGGGGGGTCAACGAGAGCATGACGTCACGCATTTTGTCAGGTTCGCAGGTCTGCATAGGCGGTCACTGCCGACGCCTGCTGCGCTCTAGCGGCAGCGTCGCAGACTTCTGAGCCACGCGCGAGTCGAGCCAGCAGCCGCCGCGACACGCAAACCTACCTAACCTCGCGATCTCACGTCGTGGTGTGCGCGTACAGGCGGTGTTTTTCCCTGATTTATTTAGTTGTGTGATGGATCGTCGGCATGGGTGTGTACGAGCACCTCGCTGCGGCCTATAAGAAAGCCCATCCTCAGCTTTCTGGTCGAACAGTTCAAGACTCTATGAATGAGATCCGGGCAAAAGCCAAGAAGTGATTCGCGACGGCAGCCGAGAGTGATCAATACATCACAAAAATCACTCAGCAACATTTAGAAACAGCTACGAAGAATCGAGCGAATAATTTGCTAACATTTTTCAAGGTGAGTCGTTTGTTTTGATATGAGCGCCCTTTGGCTGCTGTCTGTTCTGGTCCATAAAAATAATCAGCGTTGTGTAACCACACTTTCATTGATTACATTGCCACACTATTTGTTAAATGCATATAGTTACAATTTTTAAAGTTCAAACATCAATTATTTCATGGTCAAAATTTCATGGTCAAAATTTGCCCTTGCGCATATAACTTCAATTCTTTTCTTTCATTTGCTATTCAAAACAGCGTAAAGCGGTAAGTGGTCCCTCTCAATCTGTTCCCCGCGGAGCGGGCGTTGCGGTGCCTCAGCCCGCTCCTGCTCCAGCTGGTGGCGACCCATCCCACAAATCAGCTGATGGTGGTAATGGTGACGGTAGTACTTCCAAATTCCCTGGTATGCAAATAGAATAAGTAGAAGGTAATTGACAGAAAATCCAATGTGATTTTTTTGGCATATTTTTCTATACAAACCATTTTGAGAATAAATACAATAGAAAGATACAGTGTTTCCTTGATAGCGACATTCTGAAGTCAGGAACTACCCTCGGATTTGCCCCCTTCCTAGGGGAATCATACCCCCACCGGACGAGAGGGGTGAACTGACGCTAGGAAAATTTTACCCCCCGGTAAGATTTTCCTAGGAAAATCGTACCCCCACCGGACGAGGGGGGTAATTTGACGCTAGAAAAATTTTACCCCCCGGTAAGATATTCCTAGAGGAATCGTACCCCCTAACTGCCTGCTTGCTGCCCGCTCGTGTTCATTTTACAGTAGTTTCATTTTAATGACGTTTTTTTGTGCGTTTGGGAAGGGGGCAGGTGGGGGCAGGTTGTGGAGGGGAAGGGAAGGGCTCGACCGAAAACCTTTCATACAGCTCTCAATTTATAGAAGAAAGAAGAGATCGTGACGCTTTTCATTTCTTTAACAGGTACCAGCAGGCACTTCAATCCCCCTCCATTTTCTTGGCGGGCAGCAAAATGCAAGTGGTTGGGGCTAAAAAAAATGCGCTGAAATAGACAGGATCAAATCTCATCCGAAGCCTTTGACGGGCTCTCACAAATTTTCTCTACTTTCACCAGAGCACCGCAGAAATGGGCGTATGTCGCTAGCGGGCAAGGGCCCTAGGTAGAAGGGTCAGGATTGTCGCTAGCGGGCATCGGAGGGAAAAGGGGGGATTGTGATTGTGCGGGAGAAAAGGGAAATTGTCGGTGGGCAGCACGACGGGTTGCCTATCTCCACGGCGTTGGGGCCGCAGCGAGCCGGGCGACTTTTGGTGCGGGTTCCGCTCACTCACATCTATCGTTTACGGACGAAGACAGGCGCACGGCTCCGGCTTGCAGCTTCCGATCTCGCCGATTTCAACCGTCAGTTTGCAAGCGCGCACCCAAGCGTTCATGCGAGCAATGAGGTCTTATTGGACAGGCTCAAAGCTACGTAAAAATGCGGTCCGTGCAGGTTGGGAGGGGGGGGGGGTGGAATAGGAGGACGAATGTGTGTAGGGGAGTGGAAAGGAGGATGAATGCATGGGAGGAGGTCAGGGCAGCGGAACGAAATACTATCTGGTAGGTTGCATGACCAAGGCAAAAATAAAGCGAAATCACGCAGAAATTTTAACAATACGAGATGCATGCACGGGCCGGCCGGGACACGTCCAGCTTGCTCTGAATTATTTTACAATTGTTTGCATTTTTAGGGGGTAGGTCGGGCATCATTTTTCTGTATGTCGAACTTGCGAAAGTAAGCATGACCCCTCGATGACCGGGCCTATTTTCAGGGTCTTTTTGTTTTACGAAAAGACAGATTGAGTTCGAGCTAGAGCTATTTGTATTACAAACAATTCTGTTTGTAATGTTCAAAGGATCTGTAGCAGCTGTATTACACTTTTCTTTCGTATTACAAACAACGCTGATTTGTAATATGAAAAGCTCGGTTTGTTATGCAAACGCCTGCTCTTTGTAATATAATTAATTTGTTTGTATAATGTACGATCCAATCCTTTGTACGATACAAATAGCTGTTGTTTGTAAGAAATTTACAGTGAGTAGAATATTCTAAAATCTAGAAATCTGAGATCTATCACATAGTATTCATTGGCTTTTTGTACCTCTCAAATTGGCATCTTGCAGGATGTTTGTTTACTAATTCAGATGTTTCTTTTCCTATTCAATATGATAGTGTCTTTTCCATTTCAGTTTGTAATATTGCGGATGATATTCTTTCAGAGCTGCTGTTGCTGGTCCAAGATTTTAGAGTAAAGTTCACCCCCACCACTCATCAGTGCATGGTTTTGAAGCAGTATTGGAATAAACCGAGACTCTTCATGAGTACCGAGACACTATCCCTCGCACTATCCTGATTTCCAAAGCAGAATCGTACAGGTATTCGGAGGTGCCACAGATTGATAAAATGAACCGTCTACCTGATGCCAGAGCAAAACGGACAATATATTCGCCCATAGGGCTCTACTTTGATGAGTTACCCCTTAGGAAACCAGAAAATTTAAGAAGAACTGAAAATGTTATTAAATTTAAGAGACATTTTGGTCTTAAATTTCAGAATATTTTTTACAGTGAAATGCTGAAAAGAACCTCTGCTTCATCCCGAACACCATTGGGGTGTCTAAGTGTTAGTGTACGAAGAAAAAACCCAGATGAGAGAAGATTTCGAAAGAAATAATCACTTGCAAGACGGCTCAAACTGCCCCGAGGGTAGCAAATTCAATTGAATGGCTCTAAAGGTGTGGGCACTTTTTTCGCAAGAAATTATATTAGGGGGACAGTATTTTAATTTCTTAGGTAAAAGTTACCACGATGTTAAGCACATATTGCCAACAACCATGATGGGATCAGATGAAATCTTTTCTACTGCACTTATAGACGCTGTCGAAAGTTAGTCAAGGCCCATAGCTTTTGAACAGGAGCCAAAAAAGGTGTGATAATATAATTTCATTACCATTCCATCCCTGCTTTCAGCCCAAGTATTTTGCCCTGACACCGTAGTGCGCGCAGGGCGCAGGCATCGCCTGCAAGATGGCGTTTAGCGCCAAGGCTGGGCCAGAACCAAATATCGCAATGCCATCCGGGTAAACGTTGTCGCACAGGCCCCGGACTTTGCACACGTTCTCTCATAGGTGAAATCCACTATTTAGGTGTTATTAACAAGTTGTGACAATTTGTGCAGCAAATGTGCAAAGGGAAAATGGTAGGAGAATAGAACCTTGTAGTTTGGCAGTTCAGCACAGAGGAAGCAAGAAATTTTTATTCAGAATATGGCGAACCGACATGGTATGAGAAAGTACAAATAACAGAAAGATAAATGCTCTTTTGTTGGCTGAGCGATTAGCGAAGCCTATTACTTTGTCTGGTCGGAAAAAAACTTTTTTTGTCTGTCTGTCTGTGTATCTCTCCGCACGAAAACTCGAAAACGAATAGGGTGTTTCAATGGAGCGCTGCCCGGAACTATGAAGAACAAAACAAGATACAGAGAGCGGTAGTGGGGGCGAGCGCGCGAAGGAGCGGCGGGTGGAGGGGGGCCTCACCGCCCGCCCTTCGCTCCTCCACTAGCCCGCCCACCACCGCTCTCTGTATCCGGTTTTGTTCTTCTTAGTTCCGGGCAGTGCTCCATTGAAATACCCTATTGAGCGAGCGACCTGGGATTTTCAGGGTTGTTTTGTGTCTTAAAAATACAGATCAAGTTCGAAGAAAAGCATTCTAGCCCAAAAAATCGATTTAAAAAAAAATCAAAAACAACAGGTCCCAAAAATGACGTTTTTCAAAAATATTTTTTTTATGGTTTCCTAAGGGGTAACTTATCAAAGTGGAACTCGCAGGGCGAAAATTTTGTCCGTTTTGTTCTAGCTCAAACCGAGGCGCTAGAGGGCATTTTTGACGAAAATAAGCGAAAAATGTACAACCCTGTATGCTTAGTCGAGGTGACGGGCTGTTGACGGGCCTTGTGTACATTTTACAACTACCCGACTCGGGTGTCAGCGCCGCAGGCCAAGGTAGATGTATGCCAGGCGCGTCGCAGCGTGACAGTGTTTCGTGAGATATCGCGAAGCCTGTTACGCGAGACGTGGTCTGGCGTACATCTACCTTGTGTAAAAATAATCGTTTTAGTGATAGTAGATTATCAAGGGACCCTCGAGTTCAAAGGAGGGCGTTGTTTAACGCCATATGTGTGGTTTAAGTAGTACTTCCGGGACAATTTATCGATATGAAGCCTTTTCTACAATTTAATAGACCATTTGGTCATTTCCACCTTATATTCGTGAAGAAATGATCTCTAGCACCTTAACGGTACACGATCGCTGAAAATTACTCTACGTATCAAAATACAAAATATTTACGTAACACCATTTTACGTTCAAATTATGGTATAACTGCTGTTACACAAACTTCTTTGCGTAACAAACGTTACTATACTTTTTGTGATACAATAGGACTCTGAAATTCCCAGATCGATGTCTCAATTCCTTCTCGAGTTATCGTGCATATGGACAGACAAACAAACAAACAGAATGAAACTTTTTCGGTCAATGGAGTAGAAGGCTTCGCTAATCGCTCAGCCAATAAATTGCAAAATCAGCGGAGTTTTGACTAGGGGAAATCAACAAAGATGTAATCTATCCAGTCTGGAAGACAAAAAGGTTCACAAAGACTACTAGATTTGATGGCACCATGCTTGCCACGGAACAAGGATTGCAAGAATGGAAAGAAGAGCTGGGCCTGTGGACTGTGCCGTGGATGACGGGGTCCGGGGCACAAAAGGCACTGTTCTCGTTGTCCCGACAGTTTTGAAGAACCTAAAAGAATCCTTCGGTGTCCGCGTCAGATTGACGCTCTGATAGTCAATGTGGATTATTCCGAAAGTGCGGCTGAAACAAATACCACAAACTATGTTGACTTTCACTTATTTCGGATCATTACTACGGCAATTATAAGCCAGGAAGAACTTTTCTTGATTTATTAATCCTGTAAGGTGCCAAAATAGGCAAGCAGTGAGAAAAATTGTTTTTCTTCGTATTCTGTCTCTTTAGGTCCCAAACAACACAAAAAACCTGAAAAATCGTTTCCCGGTTGTTCCCAGTTAATTTTTCGAGTTGTCGTCATATGACGCCATTGCACCTTACGCCGGCCGCCTTCAGTCTCCTGTCCATTACACCGTTCTAGTCTCATGGTGCCAGGCTATGGTCTGCCGGACGAAAGAACAGGACGGTAACGCTATAGTCCTATGCTGGGTAGAGAGGCGAACGGCAGTAATGCGCTTACGCATTGCTCATCAATCAGTAAAACGTGGTTGAAATATGCTCATCTTCACCAGCCGTCTCCTAACATGGCAGCTGTTTGTTATGAAAGCGCGCCCCCCACATCGCGACTTTGTACACTTGTATTTTTCTATAAACCTAATATGTGCCATTTAGATTAACAAAAATGCAACCTACAAAGTTGGCAAAGCTGAAAATAATAATATCTGGAAGTACAGACCAAGCGTTTGGGAATAGTTAGGATTCGAAAATAAGGCCTAAAAAAGCCTGTGACGGCGGCAATCCGGGCGGTTCGCACGCTAGCAGACGATGCAGGACAAGTGAGGACCACGGCGGTCAGGTTGGGGCTATCGCTGCCCACACTTCGCGTCTCTCTAGCCAGTGTACGACTCTAGTTAACGCGTGGTGCAGAAAGAGGCAACTGTGTTTTTTCGTCAGTACGACTATACCCGAAATACCCTATCAAAGACATTTTTAGAATATCTGTACAGCCAGTTAGGCTTTATGGTGGTCAACCGAATTCTCTTCGGTGTGCACATATATTTCAGTACACCGAAAACATACTTTATATCCAGGTGCCAGGAGGTCAAAGCGAACACATCCATAAGTTTAGTGTTGCGGAGTCGCATACAGTTTCGTGCCACGGGATTCATAACGCATTATGAGTAATGGGTATTTACCCCTTTTTTGGACACATGAAAACTTACTCTTTATAGCCACCGGAGAACTCAAACACATCGAAAAGGGCCCAGGCGTAGTACGATATGACAGGCACGTTGTATTCTTGCATAGTTCGAATAAGCGATCGCAGTGCGGTCTGTATGTAAAGAAAGATACAATCAGATATGGTTACCAACCCTATGATTATATGTACGCTAGACCGGGGGTCCGTAACTTAACGCATTACCGTTCTGCGTTAACAATATGCAATAAAAGTTAAAGTCATGGGTCGTGAAAAATTATTCTGGTGCTAGTTGAAGCTTGTTCCGGCAGTTTGAGTCTGACTCCTAACGTTTCATTGTATAGTCACAAGTTATAAGATATAACACTGAACATTTCATTGTACCGTCACAAGTTATAATTTATAACTTTAACGGACAACGTACCGCCGTACCGCTAAACGGGAGTTTCATGTTAAGTTACGGACCCCTGTGTCAGACCACGTCTTGCGGAACAGGCTTCACGATATCTTACGAAACACGGTGCCACTGCGACGCTCCTGGCGCAAATAAAGCTAGGCCTGAGTCAGGGACACCCGAAACAAGTTAATAGGGAAGTTCGTGAATGGGGTTGTGTGAGCCCAATTGAAGAAAAGAAAAAATTGGGAGCAAAACAAGAGGGGGCATGGGGCGGGAAAACTCTTTGCCTGTGTCCGCCTGGAGATCCTAATCTATAAAGTTGTTGAAGAAACTGGAGCAGCATTTCACGGTACTTACACTGTGGTACGCAGCCCTCTCTATATCATTTACACCTACGTGCTTTGTGTCACCAAAGCCGTTTTCCGATATGACGATGGGCAGTTGATAGTTGAACCAGGTCCAAAGAAGAGCATCCCTCATTAGGTTCTCGTCAGACTGCAATAGAAACCGAACGATTTCAAAACATGTTAATAAACTACGGGTCTAGCCCGAGGGGTCCGTCACTCCGATTTTTCGTGTACAGTGACTAATGATTAAAAATCAGTAAATGACTAAAAGTGACTAAAAATGAGTTAATGACTAAAAATGACAAAAAAAGAGAAATTGATTAAAAATGACTGTTTTTGACGAAAGATGACTGTTTTTGACTAAAAATGATGGAAATTAACTAAATGTGACTGAAAATGACTGAAAAATGACTTAAGATGACTGAAGATGACTGAAAATGACTGAAAATGAATGAAAAATGAATGATGATTATTTACGTTTACATTCGGCGTTCGGTTCGACCCCCGATAAGATGGTGCGAGGAACGAAACTAGAGAAATAAGATGTGTCCTAACCGTGTGCATCCACGATGATCAATAAGGTGGGGTAGCCGTGAGAATTGTAGAGACTGGAAATGACTGTAAAAATGACTGAATGTGACTGAATGTGACTAAAAACGAATAAAAATGACCGAAGTGTGACGGAATGACCATAAATTGACTGAATGACTGAAAATGACTAAAAATGTGACGGAATTTTCATGTGTACAGTGACTAACTAGCCAGGACCTTACGTTCCTCGTGCTGAGCCCGCAGACTGACAGCAGTCACATATTGCCCATGTGCCTACGTTACGCCCCCGGGGATTGCGTTGCTAAAAAAAAAAAAAAAAAAAAAAAAAAAAAAACGCCTATACCACGTCGGTTCCATAAAAAAATCCTATTTCACGTCGGTTCCATGTTTCTTGGAGGGCGGAGGGTGGGCACTCACGTAACGCAGCCGAGGCTTGTGGACTGTACTGCGGCTAAGTGTTCCTGGAGTGTTACGCGCCCGCGGCCTGCCGTGCTGCCTACCTTACGGCTTACGGCTTGTCGTGGGACGACGCACGGGCTCCGCCCAGTTTCACTCCGTTTGAATATTCGCGCCTTATGCGCTATGTCACGCCTCACTGGACAGACCCTTAGGCAGCTAAGTAGGGACCCCTTGTTAAGGCTAAGTCAAGTTCGAGTCAGAGCGATAGTGACCGGGTGCGGGCGGAAAGGCCCAGGATGGCGACGAGGCTACCTGGACCGGGCCGACATGGTGTGTACATGTACGATGTATCTTTTAATTTCCCATTTGCAAAATGAATCGCACATATAAAACGTCCTATTCTTTGCACGTCATTCGTTCGTAAGTCGATACGCAGTGCTTGTAAATCTACAGTTGTTTTGAAATGTATTGTACGACATCCTCTATGGAAAATTCCCGTATCCGGTGCACCAGCACTGCAAAAACCACAGCGCTAAACAACGCCTTAAATTGGGCGCTTAATTCATGGCCTTATTTTGTGGCTTTTCCTGGGTTTCCTAAATCTTAGCGCCATAGGTAAGGTGCTAAAATATTATACCAACACAAAGCAACTAAACCAGTAATATTTACCTCCCATTACAATTTAGCTTCATTAGAACTGATCCCGTATATTGTCAAGATTTGACAATAGAATGCCCCAATGTACGTAGAAATGTGTTCTGATTTGCCATAATTTGTAACTTTCAGTGTAATAAGTATAGGATCACTTCCATATGGCACACCACAATGATAGCTAGGTCAAAACATATTCCGTCGTAAATTAATAACATTACTAAGTTGGGACGATCATGATTGCTGTGGTGGCTTGCAGTCATATTATAATTCTACATTTTGGTAAGGAGGCATGTAACTCTCTAATGGCCAACCAATCTTGAATACTATGTTTGTTAATAGTTAATAACGGAACATTATTTGATTTAGCTATACGGTAGAGTGCAAAATTAGCCTTTTAAAAAAATTACAGTTTTTAGCCCGCCCTTCTGCTTTGAAAAAGCTATCCAGCGGGCTTATGCAAACGACCTCGTGCCTGTTTGACTCCAGAGTCACGCAGCGATACTTGGTTTCTCGAGCGTTGTGCAAAGATACTTGGTCTCTCTTACGCCGTACGTGCTTTGAGTTAGGGACGAACGATATGTCAACCTGGCAGTTGTACGAACTGTCCGTTTTCGTGGTGCCTAAACACTCCTAGAAAACAAAGAGCCTACGGCAAATCCTGGCAACCAACCCTAAGGCGCTGAAAGGGGGTATCAAAGAAAAGGGGGTAGGTCAAAAAAGTCAAAAAAAAATATTTTTCTTATGGGTTCCTTAGGGGTAACTCGTCAAAATAGAGCCCTATGGGCGAAAATTTCGTCCGTTTTGCTCTATCTTTTACCGTTTGGGCGCTAGAGGGAGTTTCTCTCACAAAAGTGGCCCAAATATAAATTTATTAATTTCCAAAAATATTGAATGGTCTCCTAAGGGGTAACTTGTCAAAGTAGAGCCCATAGGGCAAAAATTTCGTCCGTTTGGCTCTATCTCTAACCGTTTAGGCGCTAGAGGGTCTTGTTTGACGAAAATAAGTTAAAAATTGCTGTAGTGAACAATTAAATGTAAAAGAAGGCCCCGAACCGCCAAAGAGGTAAGAAACTCCCTCCCCCCACCCCAAAAAAACGTTTTCTAAGCAGAAGGGTGGGTTGTAGTCGCGGTGTTTTACCGTTACATCCCTTTCTCGTGTCAACGGGGCAAATTTTAAGGGCGACGGGCTTTGCGGGCCGAAGGCCCGTTACATCATTTGATTATGTTCTACAGCAAATCGCGTGACAAAAATGGTCGGGCCGCAGGCCCGACCATCGCCGCCGGCAGGCCAAGCAGGCCCGGCCCCTGCCGAACGGAGTTGCCGGCGCAGCGAAGCGAAGCTGGCAACTTCGTTTGGCGGAAGGGCGGGCCTGCTTGTTTCGTGTATAATTTAAATTTTTCTGCTTCGAAATGTCAGGGACACACGTGTCGAACGACCGGAAAAGCCTCCGCGAAAAATACTCGGTGAAAGTATTGTTTTATTAGTTTTAAAAATACGTAGAGCTCGAGAGGTTGGGTTGTGCGGGGGAAGCCTAAAAGTCATTACTAGCTATCAAAACACATATGTTTACAAGTAATCAACATACTTTGGGACGCCGTACTGTCAAAACCTGGGTAAGGCGCGATCAAAGGGAAAATCAATCACGCACACAATGTTGGCTCTCATACACATCTCTATCCAGCCTACGTTACTTACAGCGTCAAATCCTCCACCCGAGATGAGTTTAATATTTGGCATATCTGCCGTGAAGGGTCCAAGGAGGGACGGCATGGGGCTGCCATCTGAGGCGTTGTGCCTCCAGGCTGTCTTGTACCCACTGTACACGTTGACTGCGATAAAGTCAGCAGCAGGCCCGTCTGAAATCGAGGTCAAAGATAAGAACAAACGGACGGGGCTTTCCAGATTTTACACTAACTACATTTTGTGTCTCCAGGATGACTAAGTATGACTGCACCTCTGAACATCTCCTTTTCTTCGTCTGTAAACCTCGGTAGCCTCGATTCGTTGAGCTTGAGATCCTCGAACGAACGCTTGTCTACTATGTAGCGCACGAGAGGTGGCCAGTCTCCGTGCACGATCGGATTTAGCAAGGCACCGGTGTACACCTGGTTGAACAGGTCGGCGGCCACGACATCGTCGTAGCTGGACGTGGCGGGGGTAGCAGGCCACATGAGGGCGGATGCACCGACTTGACCTAAGGACAATGTTTGTTGGATCCACTTTCCATAAAGCAATTTCATACCGATTCAACGTAGAATCGATCTTAAATACAATCATTGTCCCTAAATCGGGACGATTTTTTGTTAGAGAAAACGACATCTGAAATCCGTCGTTTTGATAATATTGGAAAACAGCGAGGATTATACAATCTTCGGACCAAGACACACCTACCACCACCTTGAACGATTTTTTATCAAATACGGTGTACCTGTGAGGCCCGCTAGAAGAGTGTCCGCCTTTTGGAACGAAAAAGTCCTAAATAGGAACAGCTTTGAAAAATTATGAACAGTGAATAATTGTTGGGAGGAACAGAAAATTCATGAAAAAATTTGATTATACCCTATCGTCGAAATATTTTTATCTGGTATAGTTTAGCCGCCAGAACTGCTTAAAAGAACTTTTTAAGGTGTTTTAAAGTGCCTAAAACCAGTTCAGTAGTCATGTAAAAGCCTGTCCCTACTTAGGAGATTTTCTGAAATCCCTTCTCACAATTTTCTTTTGTCACCTTGTAGGTGAAGAGTCCTAGTTTCACATATTTTTGCGTGACGCTCGAGAAACTAAGTATCGATTCGCGACTGTAGTGGAACCACGTAACGCATTTTTACGAATTTTTTAGGAACTCTATATTAAAATAGAGGGAAAATTCCTCGATCGAATGGCATAGGTTTCAAAAATCACCCAAGAATGGAGGTACGTGGTTTCGCCAGAGTCACGCAGCGATACTTGGTTTCTCGAGCGTTGTGCAAAGATACTTGGTCTCTCTTACGCCGTACGTGCTTTGAGTTAGGGACGAACGATATGTCAACCTGGCAGTTGTACGAACTGTCCGTTTTCGTGGTGCCTAAACAGCAAGTTTGGCAGTTTTTGGAGAGAGCAGTATGCAAGATATCGGAAATATTTATTTAAATCTAGATTCTAGAAGGTCTAACTAACCTTTCCAGCGAACCCTGGGAAACTTTATTCCGGAGAGCCGTTTTTGATATAGGGACTTTATAATAGCAAACAGCCAAGTGTCCGACGTTAGGACGCTAGTCCCGATTTAGGGGCTTTGTACAGTTGGCGTTCGGCTATACACTGTAAAAAATCATCTGATACTACGGGACCGTCAACGGACATTGCGTTATAGCCTACTGCAGAAAAGAGATACGGAAGAACTGTTTGAGTTCGACCATGTAACTAAATTTAGGGTACGGACGTGTCCGGAAAATAGTTGCCGCTTATATCCGTTAAATACGTGACACGGTTGCTCCGCACCCCAAAAATGAGGTACGGAACAACCGTTTTGCTTCGACCGTACAATTAAATTTAGGACACGGACGAGTCCGGAAAATAATTGCCGCTGTCGTCCGTTGATTTTCCGTTGTTTTTTCTTACAGTGTAGTTCCGCCTCGGGTTCAGAATGGGAGTGGGTGAGTGGGGTCGCACGAGGTGGAACTATTGCCTCCGTGCTATTGCGAGCGTCTTTTTAAAAAAAGTTAAAAATATGTTTAAGGAATTAAATAGTATTGACATATCGCTCGTCGCTAACTCAAAGCAACGCACAAAGGCGCAGCGTGACTCAAAAGTGAAACAACTTAACACATCTTTTAAAGATATTTTAGGAAGTATTTTTTTCGATATAGTGAACATTTCGCTATCGAATGGTACTGGTTTTCAAGTTCACCCCAAAATGGAGATATAGCACCTTACCAAACCTTACCCCCGCTTCCCCTACAGCGAGAACCAGAAATCCAAGTGTGGCACAATAATAAATGCAAGCTTTCTCATAGAATAACATTTGTACCCAAAACTTGTGTGCGCATAGCCGATGGGTGCACGGCAAAAAAAGGAAGAAAATGCTCATTTTCGGAGAAAAGGGGGAAAACTCTGAGGAACCCATATTGGAGGCAAAACTCTTCAGATTTTGAGGTTTTCTTAAAAAATGTTGGAATTTCCTACATCTTTGAAGAAGATATTCCCCAAATCTTAGTGATTTTTTTACACCTTAAACTAAGACGCACACACAGTCGAGCCGAGCCGATGGACGCACGCTGTTAAATGGCACGTTTCAAAACCCACACAGTTTAGATGCGCGTTTGGAGACCCTCGTAGTTCTTCGCTAAAGGAAAGGAACAACGTGAGTATTAGGGAAAAATGGGAGCTCCTCAAAGTTTTCCCTTGCCTTAGAAAAGTAGACATTGTTTTAATGTGTGGTTATTGGCTACCTTGTGTTCGCTATATGCTTTCATTGATCATGCAAAGTACGTATACCTTTTTGCTCTTCAAAGTATTTCTCTTTGTAAAGGCGGTATACACGCACGTGCGCCACCACCATGTTGTGCAGACACCTGTAAAGCTGGTTGCCATCTCCAGGGTTAAGCCCAATGAACGAGGCGAGCTGGGGAAAGTAAGAGCAGTACATGTTGCCCTCGTTGATAGTAGTCCAATATTTCACCTAATCAGAAACATGAAGGGTTTCAGTTAAATCTAGTAAAATACTAACACACCTAGAACAGGGCAACTCACCCCGGCCGTTTTTGTACCTACAACAACTCGCACCCTGTCATTTCCTCTTAAAGAAGTTTGACAAAGTGATTATTCGAACTCAGACATGTCGCACCGAAGTACTTGATTTTTTTGTCAATTGATTGTATGTGTTAACGTAAAATTCAGTAAAATACACGCACCTTTTTGTGCAGAAGCTCCTCAGCTCTACGAGAACGTGAACAACATTTTCAACAAAGGTTTGTCATCAAATTCTTTATCCTCATGAAGTTTTACTATTTCATTGAATACTCGACAATGACAAGCTTTGGTTTAAGTCGAATAAGAAACACAACATTCAGCCAAACTATAGGTATCTAAACTAAATTGACAGTCTTTAAATTCAAAAGCACTTAAATCCAATTTTATACAAGTAGAAAATCTTTCCGCATCAACTGTTTAAAAAAATCAAATACGTCGATACTCCGCGGTAGCAGGCGCGGATTAAGGTTCGGCCGACAGGGGGGGTCGATGCACTGTCGGTTGCCTAGGAGTTTTGTGACTCATATTGCCTACCTTTCAGGCGGCTCACTAGGGACGATGGGAAGGGGGGGGGGGCAATAGCCACCCCCCTTAATCCGCGCCTGCGCGGTAGTGTTGAATTGAAAATCTAAAAATCGAAAGTTGGATAGTGTTGGGTAAATAAATGGATCCGAAATTTCCCAGGGTGCATTGATTGGGTTGAAATATTGTGAGGATGAGTGGACGTAGGTTCGAATTTAGAGGGGGTGAGTTGTTGTGCAATCCGGTATATGGTAGAACGTACCTCCGAACCGAAAGTTTTAAACAGAAAATCTGCGTAGGCAACAAACTTGTCCATCATCTCTTGTGAATTCCAGCCATTCGTCTTGTTTTCCAGAGAAAACGGTTGATCGAAGTGAAGCATGGTAACCTGCAATAAATGATGTTTGTAAATGCGGTACACTTTACGAAGACTGCATGATTTGTCGCCACCAAGGCAATTTTTTTGCAGTCAAATTCGCACTTTGGAAACCCAAGGCTATTTTTTAGCCCGCCGTTCTGCTTTGAAAAAGCTACCTAGCGGGCTTATGTAAACGACCTCGTGCCTGTTTGACTGTGTGTCTGTCTTTTCCATTAGAAGGAAATGTGCACTGTGAAAAAAGGAGGTAGTTTTACTGGAAAATTTTCTTTGACGAAAGTTGTAAAACGTAGGAGTACGTGCAGCAGCCCGTAGTGGCTGAGCGTTTGTCAGTGTGCTAAAATTCTCAAGGGGG